AAACACACGAGGTGAAAAAAATCGGTTTGGTTAGTGGTAAAACACTGTGTGGTGTTTTAGCGTGCCAAAGGTTCCAGTCTTTAATATATGTATGTTAATAGGTTATAGTGAGATGCATCTTCAGTGCAAAATGTAAATTTTTCATACCTCTATTCGGGATGAATTTGCAGCTCTTGACTTCTTTCATAGACCATTCAAATGTTTCTTTTGCGTATAAAATAAGGGAGTATGAACAAAAACCTCTTATATCACCTGTCAATCTCCTTGACCAGCCCGTCGATCATCTCGTGCTTGGTCATCTTCTCGTGCGACGTGTGCGCAAAAATGGCGATTCTCGTAATGTTTAACATGATGAATGCGTGTTTCGTGGCCGCACATCTTACCTACATAAACTTACATATTTTGATAATTGTCTTTCCTTCAATTTTTGTATAGTTCATTATTTTTGTTCGCGATCAATGCTGTGATTTTTAATTCTTGCTCTGCATGAAAAAAGGAGAAGAAGGCGAAAACGATCACCGAAAATTCTCAGTAGCAATAATATCACCGTATGATGAGTACGAACAATTACTGAATTGATGCCTCATACAGTCCAGGATCTAACATTTTGGTCCTTCGATCCGGATTTTGTGGCAATCATTATCATACTAATAACTCAATTTATTTGCATTTGCGCGAACGAGATTATTGAGAATATCCACGTTCAAACGTTCAAGAATTAGGCCGTGGAATTTCGAAGATAAATAATATGCCCACTGTTACTGTTGTGTTAACATTAGGAACAATAAACTTCATGAATTATGAAACAGTCGCATCAGTTGAAGTGTAATGAAAACACCCACACTACAACACTAGGCACAAAGGTCATTAAGCATATTCAGCGCTCTAACACTTTTCAAGTGTCCTCCACAGGAAATAAGTTTAGAGTATTTTTTGACCTGTCTTCTAAGATGATGTGTATTTTATAGGTATATAGAACTGACACCGCCGTTTTGGCACAATCGAATGAAAACCATTCAGTATTTAATAAATATTAATTAACTATTTTATAATACCAACCCACATTTTTTAACTCAAGTGGTTAGCACCACCGTTTCACGATTTTCCACCCAAATAAGTCATCGACATGATTCAAACTCTGAAATTTCTAACTTTTCAATAACTTTCAAATGGTGTATCGATAATTTGAATATGAGCAAATTTGAATGTTTTGAAAAGGGACAAATATGCATTCAATAGGTACCTAAAATACATATAAATTTTTTCAAGTTCTCATAATACTTTATTATAATACTTTTTTTTTCAAATATTTTCCATCACAACTGTACTATTTTTGACAAATATACCATCTGAATTCACAATCCCCAAATTCAAACTGATTGTGCTGAAGTTATTAAATAGTAGAGCAACGAAGACACTCTTTAGTCACCATATTGCCATTTTCTGTCCTTATAATAATATTTCTTTCGAAATTTTCCATCACAACTATACTATTTTTGAAAAATATATCATCTGAATCCACATTCTTTCAATTTCAACTGATTGTGCCAAAGTTTTCAAATATTAAATCAACGAAAACACTCGTGAGTCATAGCTGTACTATTTTTGACAAATATACCATCTGAATTCACATTTTCGAAATTCCAACCGATTGTGCAGAAATTATTGAATAGTAGATCAATGAAGACACTCTCTAGTCACCATATTGTCATTTTCATTCATAATAAAAAATGTTCTTTTGAATTTTCTCCATCACAACTATACTATTTTTGAAGAATATATCATCTGAATCCACATTCTTCCAATTTCAACTGATTGTGCTGAAGTTATTGAATATTAGATATACGAAAACACTTGTTAGTCATCATATCGCCATTTCCTGTCCTTATAATAATTTTTTTTTCATATATTTCTTATCACAAATGTACTATCTTTGAAAAATATATCATCTGGATTCACATTCTTCGAATTTGACCAATGAAAGCACTCGTTAGTCATCATATTGCGATTTTTTGTCCTTAGAATTCATTTTCTTTTGAATATTTCCCATCACAACTCTACTATTTTTGGAAAATATAATCTATTATCTCAAACCATTATTAAGTATTCAAAAATATGTTTTGAAAATAATTTTTCGCAAACCTTTGGATTATCCATCATCCTCATTATTTGTAGATAATCATATACTGAATGTCAAACAATTATTTTATAAAGCATCATTGAATTTCTTGAAAAAAAAACACTGCATTTAGTAATAAAATTAGTCACAATTATTGTACAAGAAATGATAATGTTCAACTTGAAAAACATAATCTCAAAATCATGCAAAACCATAGTAGTTTTATTGGGTCAAAAATTTTTAACAGAGTTCCATCAAAATTGAGACGTTTGAATATTGTAACATTCAAAAAAAAAATTAAAATTTGGTTTTTGGATAATGCAAAAGAAATTGATAATCTCTTCAAATAATTTTTTTTTTTTTTTTTTGTTTGTGTGCTTTGTATATTATATTGAATTTATAATCAATATTTAATCTAAATATTTTTAAGAACTTGAAAATTTTTTACAAAAAGTTTATAATAATTATCTAATTCACACACAGGTCAATAACCTATGTGAAGTAGATAAAATTTAGAATTTTTATAATATTAGAATATGTATGTCTTTGTAAATGTATTCATATGAGAATAAATAAATAAATAAATAAATAAATAAATAATATGCTGAAAAAATAGGATTGAGAATTTGTCCCTTTAAAAATATTCAAAGCTTCATAAAGTACTTACTTGGGCCTCTAAAACATATAATAAACAATGTTTTCAGTAGTGGAGTTTATCCAGCAATTCTGAAAAAAGCAATTATCATACCAATATATAAACAAGGGGACAAAAAACTTACTACAAATTATAGACCAATCGCATTGACAAGTATAGTCAGCAAACTATTAGAAAAATGTATTAAAATCAAATTAGCTGCCTTTCTCGAAAAATACAAAGTACTATCAAGTTTCCAGTTTGCTTTTAGAGAGGGTACCAGTACAGAGGATGCATTGTGCCGAGTGACCGAGCAAATTTCACGGAGCTTAGACGGCGGAAAAAAAACTATTGGCATTTTCCTGGACTTGGCCAAAGCGTTTGACACTGTGGCACACCATATCATACTAGAAAGATTGCATAATATAGGAATCCGTGGAATTGCCAATGAACTTTTCAGATCTTACTTGAGCGGTAGAACCCATCAAGTAAAAATACAAGATGTAATAGGTACTCCTCTAGATATGACATGTGGTGTGCCACAGGGTACGGTGTTGGGGCCCTTGCTGTTCATTTATATTAACGATATTACTTCTGTCCTAGTTGAAAGTCAAGTATTTTGCTTTGCTGACGATACTGTAATTATAGTAACCGACCACACCTGGGAATCAGCGGTTCAAAAGGCGGAAGAGGCCATCTCTAAAATAAAAAACTGGCTAGACTGCAGTTTACTAACATTGAATGTGGAATTTCTAAAAATTCATGATTATGACTGTAACTTTGAGACTAATTCTTGTAAATGTAATTCTAAGATAGAGAGAAAGGACAGTGTGAAATATTTAGGAATTTTACTTGATGAAAACTTAAACTGGAAATTTCATATTAACATGGTTACCAGCAAAGTCAGAAAACTGATCTACAAATTTTATGAGCTGAGACATATTTTGAATGTAAATACTCTGAAGATGGTCTATTCTGCACTAGTTGAGTCAATTATCAACTATGGGTTGGTAGTTTGGGGTAATGCTTGTAAGAGTACCATGTCATCTCTTCATGTAGCACAAAAATATGTTCTGAAAATTATGTTACACAAGTCTAGGCTGTTCCCATCCGAGTTGTTATTTAAAGAAAGCAAATTGCTAAACATTGATCAGCTATATATTAAATCTACTATTAGATTCATGATCATGAAAAAATATTACAGAAGTGAACTACAACACAAACTGAATACAAGGGCAGTAGTTAGGCAGAATATCTTCGTTCCGCATGTGGCGCGTTCAGCGACACAAGCGCACATTGCTTATATAGGGCCAAAAGTTTATAACATTTTACCACTGCACCTTAGAAATAAGCCCTACAAACAAGTTAAACACCATGTCAATAGATGGATAGTAGAAAGTGAGGTGACTGTAAATGATTTATAAATCATCTAATCTTGCACATCACATGTCACATGCACAACAGTTATGTTATTAGGTTATTATTCATTATTGTCTTCTTATCACTTATTAATTCCAAATTGCAGGGACCTCAGTATATCTATATATGACTGATTCTTAAGTTTAAGCTACATGGCTGCACACAGATTTTTTTTAAATCCATTGTGCATCCAACCAATGAATATATATAATTATGTATTATTGTTCAATTTATAATTTGTTGTTTCCTACTAATTTTTCTAAATATCCAATTTCAACAAAATATCAAAGTTTGTAGATTGAAATATTAGTGAAAGTTATTGTTATAGTTCATTATATTATTATTATTATTATTATATTATATTATTATATGTTTCTTGGGAATAATAAAGATGAAGATAAAGATTAAAAAAAAAAATTATCGATACACAATTCGAAAATAATTAAAAAGTTAAAAAAATTAGCGTTTGAATTATGTCCATAACTAATTTGGGTCGAAATTTGTGCTAGCTTGAGGTTAAGCTGGCCAAACACCATTTTTTCGCTAACCGCTTTAGTTAAAAAAATCGGGTTGGTATTAAAGAGTCGTTAATTAATAGTTATTGAATACTAGATGATTTTCATTTGATTGTGTCAGAACGGCTGTGTCAGTTTTATATACCTGTATTTCATGTGTATGTTAATAGGTTATAGTGAGATGCACCTTCAGTGCAAAATTAAAATTTTTCATACCACTACTCCGGATGAATTTGCAGCTCTTGACATGTTTTTGCGTATAACATATGGAATTATGAACAAAAACCTCTTATACCCAGAAAAAAGTATTCACCTGTCAATCTCCTTGACCAGCCCGTCGATCATCTCGTGCTTGGTCATCTTCTCGTTGATGATCGGCGTGTTCTTGATATCCCTCGCCCGCGTCGCGTACTCCAGCGTACTGGTCGTTTCCTCGTGCGAGGTGTGAGCAGGAGACACCGTCGAAATGATGACGGTCTTCGTGTGGCCGCCGAGGCTGTCCTGCAGGATGCGTGTCAGCTTCGAGTCCCTGTACGGGACGTGCTTCTGCGACTTGTCGGCCAGCGCTTGGATCACTCTGCCCAAGGTCAATAGGGATCTGGAACAGGAGAGGGGGCGTTTGGTGTGGGTTTTTTCGTCATAGACGAGTAGGGCATGCGGTATATTAGTAAATTTGAACATGATAGTTCAATCAATCAATCAAAATATACTTTTTCTCCAAGCGGCAGGGTTAGTGGCTTTTTCCTGCCGCTTAACAGGCAGAAAAGGTGTACTTTTACTGCCTAGGCAGAAAGTTTATTGCTATGCTACGTTCCAAGAAATTCTAATGAAATGAGTAATCAAAATTGACACAGACATTGGGTGAACACAAAATGATGGAATTTTCAATAAAAAAATCACACAAAATTGGTTTTATATCATTTGGAGAAAAAATTCTATGTTTCACACGGCAGCAAATGTAGATTGACTGTCTTGGCTGAATTCCTAGACTCGCTACGCTCGGCTATGAACTATCAGCCGCGGCAGTCAATCTACTAGTTTTCTGCCTAGTAAAACAAATAACAGCATAATAAATCAATGACTTTTTAGTTAAGCTCGTCGATGGAATGAGGAGTCTTAAAGTGTTGCTTTGGCGAGTAGAACTTCCAACCGCATCATATGGCGATTTATTGTTGTGAATTAAACATACTGTTTCGAGAATGAAGAGACATGAAAGTGTTAGGATTTTGTGTTCTGAGAACAGAGGTTTGCATGATACTCTACACTTTGTAGAGGTATCGAATAGCCCGCTTCTGGAAATTGAGGATCGATTTGAAATTCTGTTCACTGGAAATTCCTATGCAATTCAATGCCTAGTTCTTTACACACTATCCGCAACCCATAACACCCAGACGCCAATTTTTCACTCAAACGTTTCACGTGATTATCAGAGTTGAGTTTGTCATCCAGATGAATACCAAGAAATTTAACTTCGTTCTTCTGTTCAATGAAAACTTCATTTCCTAACTGGATGTCTGGTAGATGACATTTGATCGACAGGGGGCTGGTTTTACCTATATTGAACGATAGCAAATTTGAGTCACACCACCTTTTCACAGCGGAAATATCGTTGGCAATTTTCTTTTGCATATTCCTCACATCAGTATCATTCCACATGATAGTTGTGTCGTCTGCAAAAATAGTCAATTTTCCATCGATCATGCGATAAGCCAAATCATTAAAATACGAGGCCCTATACAAGACTAGATACAATCATATATGTCTGGCAGATCACTCAGGGTACAGGTTGGCGAAAAACAGTCGGATAGCTATGACATTTTAATTAGAACTCCCCAAGGTGGAGTTCTAGACCCACTACTTTTCCTACTCTATATAAATGACCTCCCTACGTATATTACTCAGGGACGTACCTTTATATATGCAGATGAAACTACAATTATCGTTGCAGCTGAAACTGTAACCGAATTGAATGAGAAAGTGAAGCTTGTTACAGAAAATTTCAAACAATGGTGCAGAATGAATCATCTTATTGATAACACAAATAAAACGGTATTGATAGAATTCACTAGTCCTCTCAAACCAACTAGCAACTCTGTATTCAATCTCTGTGGTACAAACACTCCATCTTCGGAGTCAACGAAATATCTGGGTTTAGAATTAGATCATAAGCTAGCTTTCAATGGCCAAATCGATTCTGTTTGTAAAAGACTGAATGGATTATATTTTGCATTTACTACATTAAAATCTAATTTCCATGATAATTACCTAGTGAACATGTACTATGGGCTGATATACCCTGTAATCAGCTGTAACATTATTGTATGGGGCAGAGCCACAGAAATCAATAGAATCTTCATCATTCAGAAAAGATTCATCAGACTATTGTTCAATTTGGACTATAGAGAGTCTTGTAGGGACACATTCATTCAACACGGAATCCTAACACTTCCTTCCATATATTTATATAAATTGCTAGTATACACTCATAAAAATGTAAACAGATTGAACAAAACCAAAAATTACCATGAATATAATACAAGAAAGAGAAATGATCTTCGTCTAGATCAACCACACAGAAATCAGCATAAGAAATCACCACTTTATGCCGGATGCTATTTTTATAATCTGCTACCTGGGAGTATTAAAGCAATCATGAATGAAAACAAATTCAAATCAGCTTTGAAAAAAATTTTAATCTGTCATGCATTCTATTCTTTGGACGAGTATACCCATCTTGCAGTTAGTGATTGAGATTTGAGATTGAAAAAAAAAACTATGTGTATTTTTAATATGTTTGTTCTTTTACTATAGTTTATAATATCAACGTAATTTTTTAATGTTTTTAAGTATATATGTACCATTTGTATCTTTTGACTTGTCTCATGTTGTGTAAATGACCTGAAGAGATTAAACTATCTATCTATCTATCTATCAATAAGAACAGTATAGGCCCCAAAACATAAACATTGAGCTGATCAAATCATCCGTTGACATTGAACTATGAATACTGAGCAAGGAATAGGTGAGTGGACTGATAATGAATTATTGGCATTTGATTACTCCACTGTCGTTATAATCCTAAATTAATTTTTGCAACACTTCTCACGTTTTTATGTAAATAATGAGTCTATGCGTTGCTCGAAATTGTTGAATTTCGGAGCTCATTTCAAACGAACTTTCATGGCCGCGATTTGGCGATACGTCGAATAAATGGTGACGTCTGTTTATATGCTGTTTCGTTATTGCTCAGATAATCTCTCAAAGAGATGTTTTTCTGATTATCCATAACAAAATACCCTGGTTATTTACCCTTAATCATAAATACCAGGGTATCACCCTGTAGCAAAGCAGATCGCATTACCTGGGAATGTTCGCGATATTGTCAGGGTAATGAATAAATAATAAATAAAGTAGGAAATTAATTTGTGAACAATTTGAATCAGAGTATTCCTGGTTTTGGATATCCTTACATAATAAATCTGATAAGAGAATCGCTACCTGCTGTGAAGCCTCTAGAAGTGCCTGTGGTATGGCCTCTGATATATTTTTGTATTTTCAGATTCTTATTGGTTTGTTTCCGGAGGCGTGGAAATGTGCCATGGTGCTTCCCTTACCCAAAGTTGCTAATTCCTCGTCATACTCTGACTTGAGGCCCATCAGTATTCTTCCCATGCTTTCGAAAATCTTGGAAATGGTGATAAAAAAAACAAATTTCTGACTAGATATTTACAAAAAATATCATTCCTGTTTCACAATTGGGGTTCCGGCAGCATCACAGTACAACTTCTGCTTTAGCCTGTATCACGGATGATATACTCATCAGTACTGATAAGAACGAAGTGACATGTTTAGTTTTATTGGATTACAGCAAGGCTTTTGACACTCTGGACCCCCTTGTACTGGAACTAAAACTCAGATGCTTTGGGTTTGGACCTAGGTCTGTCAAATTAATTGCCAATTATTTGAGAAATCGATCGCAGTATGTTGTAGTTGATAACCAGACTTCCGAAGTGAAACCGCGAACTCTTGGTGTACCACAGGGTTCAATTCTTGATCCACTACTGTTCTCTATTTATATTTCAGACTTTAACGAATTTATGAAATTCTGCCAAGTACATCAGTATGCAGACGACACACAGCTGTACCTTAGTTTTCAAATAGAAGACCTTCACCTTGCTATGGATCATATCAACGCTGATCTAGCGATTTTGTATAATGTTTCATCCGCACACAACTTAAAACTGAACGCCAGCAAATCAAAGCTCTTGGTATTTGGTCCCAAACACAAACGATTAGTCTTCGAGCAACTGAATAATATACAAATAGCAGGTGATGCATTGCCAGTTGTAGAGGAATGCAAAAATTTAGGGTTATGGCTAGACAGTGATATGAGATATACAAAACATGTCAATCATCTCAGTAAAATATCTTATAATACTCTGAGAAGTTTATACCCGCAAAGAAATATTCTCAGCAATGAGCTAAAATTACATTTATGTGAATCACTGATTATGTCTAAACTCTCATACTGCCACTGCATTTATGGCCCCGCTCTTCTAATTACAGATCAGAAGCGTTTACAAAGAATAAAAAACTCATGTATGAGGTTTTCTATGGGAATTCGTAAGTTCGATCCGATTAGCCAGGCATATCGAGATACCAAAAAACTCAAACTTCCTTTGTTACGTAAACTGCACTTTTTAACATTCACCCATAAGATTTTAATCACCAAAAAGCCTTCTTATTTGAAGGATAAACTGAAACGGTTCGAAAATATTAATAATTTTCAGACACGTAACAGGCGCCTATTAGTCATTCCTAACCACTCTACTACCATCTTCAAGCGTAGCTTCTCCTACGTGGCTTGCACGCTTTATAACTCCCTTCCTCCAGACTTCGCCAATTATACTATAATTAATTTCAAGAAGAAACTGAAAGATCACCTTTTATCAAACATGTAGGCAAATATGTACAATTACGCGGCCATGTCTCTGGTTCATGATGGAGGTTCATATACTGATATACTGACCCGATATTCTTATAATCATCATAATCATCGATTTATTTATTGAAATTCCTTTGATAAAATTTATATTATTTCATCATTCATCAAATATTTTACCCATAATTTAATGTTAATTATATTTCCAGGGTTAAGTTGAAAAACACTGTTTTACAGTGACACTTCACCCATTTAGTCACATCTTTTTTGTTTCTTTTGTTCTTTGAGATATATGTATTTATGTCTTATATGATATTGTGTGATTGAATAAAATCCAATTATTATTATTATTGTGAATATTGTCTCAACTCATCACTATGCCACGTTCATCTTTGAATAATTCATATTTTTTATTTTGTTATGTACCTCACAATATCTAAGTTTATAATTTTCAGTTGTGAATTTTTGAAAGTTGTCATTATGGGTGTATTATTGTTATAGAGGTGGTAATTTTTTTTTATCTACTCACTGCATAGAAAGTTAGCGGTAGCTCCCTCATTTGATAATACAAACCTGTCAATTTACTCCCACGGGAGGAAAAAAATATTACCTCCCGTGGGTGATAAAATAAATTGGCTTCAGCATGCTTCCTTGGTAGAGATTTACAGATAAGATTTGTGCTACCCGAGTAACTAATCATTGTGTCCATCTCACTACTATAAAACAATAACAATTTCATTTGCCAATGATCTCATACACTTCCTCATATAACACTCAATCGAAACTTTCAATAAAATGCAATAATAACATCACAATAAACTAATTCAATGTGACAGAAGTGTCATTGTCAAATTGATTTTCGTTCTGTAAACTTAGATCATGTAAAACCTTAAATCATGTAACACATTGATTTGGATCGAGACTCGAGAGATAGACCGCTTGAAGCACAATTTTAGGAACGACGCTCTCAAATATATGTGTTTGTGGATCAAACTTCACACGCGGGAGGAAATGGATAACTTTCCTCTCCCGATATATAAATAGCTATTCCTCACCTGTTAATATTGGCTAACTCAGTAGCCCTCATAGCCATACAACCAGACCGAGCGATGTTCTCACTCCCCGCCAAATCAACCAAATTGATCTTCCCCGCCTTCAAAATATCATCACCGGACGCAGTGCTCTCGCGCGTATTCACCGATATGGTGAACACGGTGTGCGACCGCGAGCTCTGGTGGTTCATCAGCGTGGGCGCTATCTGACGCTTGACGATCCCACGCTGGAGGAGCTTGAGGATGCCCTCGCTGTCGTGGACGGATACCTCTTTGAGGCCCTGTATCGAGACGGTGCCCTTCGTGTCGCTGTACATCCTGCAAAAAGAGATGAGGCTATATTCCTAATAATACTATATTTATTTATTGGAAATCAGTGAATATGAACATATATTATTCCAGAACTTGAGAAATTCTGACACAAAAAATCTCAGAGTAGCTGAAACAACTGCTCTACGTATCATTACAAGAATAAGACAACCTAACAATCCCATCCCATATTTGGGATATATTTTGGACAATATACTTCCATTGAACAAGCATGCATAATTAACAACATTTCAAAAAACATATATTTCTTCAATAGGATATCAGGATCTTTTTCAATGTATGCACGAATTACATGTTTTGATTGTATAATCCGGTATAATCAGACCCCATTTTGATTATTGTGCCACACTAATGTATGTATTCAATCACAACCAATTATCTCAGTTACAAGTATTACAAAACAAAGGAATGATAATAATTCTGAAGTGCAGTAGATACACTCCGATAGATTATACAAACTTTGCAATGGCAAACAGTTTATAATATGGTATATTATTTAAGTATGGTCTTTATTTTTAAAATTGTGAAAGAGAGCAAACCAAGTTATTTCAATAAGTTCTTGATATGCAATAATAAAATCCATGTTCATGGTACAAGATCTCAAAGTAATTTCCATATACCTAGAATGAAATTGAGAACAAGTTTGAACTGTCTGTTTGTAAAGAGTTTTGATAATTTCAATAAGCTTCCAAATGAATTGAAAAATCTTTCGACTGTTAGGCTGTTAAGAGTCATTTGTTGGAAAATATGAAGATAATCTGAAACTAAACTGAAAATAGTGTTATGTTATAATAATGTTATAGTAATAGATGGTAAAAATATCTCTTGTATATTAGGAGAAATTCTAAATAAAAGACTGATTATTATCATAATTCACAATCCACCTAATGAACTACTGTATGAAACAATACTCCGAGCGCACTTTATGAGAAAGACTATAGTGCGATGATTCCACAGAACTCATAATCTTTATATCTTACGACTAGAATACGTATCCAATATGGAGGACGAACAAATCATGCATCAACTGCAACACTGTAAGTGAACCATAAAGAGTAGCGGCGCTTAAATTCGTGGCGGAATGTAAATGGACCCCAGTGGCATGTCTCGAAGATAAGACATTAATTTTCAGAAAATCAGAAGATGACCATAGAATGCCAATGAGAAATTTGGATGATATAGGTGAATAAATATGCTATTAATTTTTTTTTACCTCTATATGTCTGATCTTAGTTTTTGAGATAGGAATTCACTGCAAAAATAAAGAATATATTCAAAATAAGGAAATTTCTGCACATCTAATATCAATTGTCATAGTTCATGGTTTGAATATGTATCGCATTCCACTGTATAAAATCGATGAGTCATTTCAAAAGACTTCTTCCACCTCAAATAGAGACTGAATGGCTATATGCCAATATAAACTTATGTAAAATTTGTCATTTAACTGTTTATAGAATTCACATTTCGATGATCTTGCTCCACTCAATTTTTCATTGTGCTGGAACTTGAAGAAGATGATTTCATCAGGCTGAAAAATATAGGGCATCTCATTGAAGGTACCACAAAACACTCATAGAGATCATACAATAATTATTATTATACCCCAAATCGAGTTTCTTAAATAGAATCATCACTCAAATACCTTTCAATTTCATATTTTTTAGGATTTTTCGGTCGATTTTCAGGTGCTTATATCAACAAAAATGACACAGTAATTTTCAAACGGCTAGAAATTTACCGCGAGTAAAAACTGACGCCACAATTTCGTATGTAGGGGCAGACCATAGCACAGTTGCCATGTGTTGAAATACGATTGGGAACTTCAGAAATATTAGTTATTCAATAATTCATAAATTCTCAATTATGTATTAGTAATATTCCTAATTAGCAATAAAAAATCAATTGTCTCAAAATGTTCCTGCGTGTGTTATGGCTTATTGCTTATAATAAATTTGTGTAAATAATAGTTATATTAATTCACACTAGAGGACATTTGAATCGGTGAACGTGACAACTCCGCACACGACTTGTGGGCGTGGTCTTGTCAGTTCTCAGAATTCAGCACAATGTTCGCAAAGTCTCCAACATTCACATGATATTTTGTTATGCAGAAAAAGAAATATTTGGACATGCTGGTTGCTCGAAAATGTCAAGAATGAACTATAATGTCATGAGTTCCTCCTATTATGTTTTATTCAACGACATGACTCAAACATCTTGATAACTTGATTATAATTGGTGACTTGACAACCTTGCTTCATGAGTGGAAATGGAAGATTATCTGACCAATAATGAAACAGCATAAAAACTGACATCACCATTTATTCGACGTATCGCCAAATGGTGGCCATGAGGTTACGTCGAGGGGTAAATCTCCAGGAAAAATGTGTACACCAGACTTCCAATGACCAAAGACTTCCAAAGACTCTCAAAGACTTTCAAAGACTCCCAAAGACTCCCAAAGACTTTCAAAGACTCCCAAATACTTCCAAAGACATCCAAAGACTTCCAAAGACATCCAAAGACATCCAAAAACATCCAAAAACATCCAAAGACATCCAAAGAATTCCAAAGACTTCCAACGGAGTGTACACCAGACTTCCAAGGAGATTTACCCCTCGGGTTACGTTTGAAATGAGCTCTGAAATTCAACGATTTTGAACAACGCATAGACGTATCATTCACATAAAAAAAGTGTGAGAAGTGTTGCAAAAATTAATTCAGGTTCCTAACGATACAGTGTAATTGGATGCCAATAATTCATTATCAGTCCACTCGCCCATTCTTACATTTAACTCTAACCTAAGCATAACTTTATACACAGGCGAAATACGGAATATTCATCATGACTTGGTGACAAAAACGGCAAAACTAGAAGAGTAATGAATCAAAAATTCAACAAATCATGCTTCAATTTGTATTTGAATTTTGTCACAGGTAAACATTTATGGGCAGCATTCAATTGGTTGTAGAGATAGTTAGAAGATAACTGCATTGTATGTGAATGATCGTTTGAACATCGAAGTAGAGTACTGGGGCATAGTCAACAAATGTTTCTGCCTAATATTCCGTGCATGAACATCTCTTCAAGCTATCAATTTATCTCCCAATTATGAAGGAATGGAAGTGAGAAGGCGATGGTTTAAAATTACGTATCGGAATTTGACAAGCTCCATATCTAGCCATTTTACTTGTTTCAATGTATTAGATACCGAATCAAATTTTCTCAAACCATAGACCAAACGACAACATGTCTATCTATACTCGCACCAAAATGATCACGGCGACTCGGGCGAATTGATAACTCAGACTGCGAGCAATTGTTTTACTCGCAGTGACGTATATGAAGATACGTCGTTGCACACCATATTATAATTCCACCATGCATCTAGGTACTAATGATATGTATAAAGCAACAAAGGACAATACTTTATTGAATCAGATCAAATCCAATTTTTTATATAACTTTGTTATAGCAGTTTGTTTCTTACGTTCAATTTTTTGTTTTATATTTTTGTTGATCATTTTTACTATTTGTTCCTGTTTTTGTATACTCAAATCTTATGTGAGTATTTTCGAATTGAGAATTAAAAATATGATTATTTTTGTATGAGAATGTTTGTTTTGTTTGTTTCTATTTTGTTGGAATTAGATTACTTTTCTCTTTACTAAAAGTACATAATGTTTCAACGTCATGGGTTTATTTCATTAATTGACAACAACTGTCATTTGCTGTTGTCAAATTAATTATTCACGAAATCCGAGAGATTTCACGTACGTGTGAATAGGACAGTGATATGAATATAAGTGTTTGAGGTCGACGAAAAAATGTAATATGCACCTCGGCGAAAAACTGTCTTTTGTCTCGCCTGATACAAAGTGTTTCGTCCTTGGTACATAAATAACTATTTTGCACTGCTCATTCACTGACCAAGTTACATCCACGAAGATAACAGCAAACATTTTTTATTCAAAATAATCTGAATATTCCGGTGCGGCATCGAACACTAAAAAACGAAATATCTCGAAAACGGCTAAAGGACCTTGCAAATGTTTAAGGTAAATTGGATCCCGGTGGATTTTTCTCAATGTTTGGTAAGATGTAGTTCATTGAGCCAACCCCCAAAAATTGTCAATTTTTTGCCAGGGGGGTTTGAATTAATATTTTGATCGAATTGACCATTTATTTCTGAGAAATTGAACGATATTCCAAAACGTTTTATTCCATTCAATTACCTACTTCTAAAAATAGATTCTTCATAAAAAAATATAATGGGGGGGAATTATAACCACCACCATCTATTTTCAAAACCGAAAAAAAAAAGAATTCCATCTAACTGTCAAAAGTGATAAGAAATGTTTCATCACGGAAAATTATGGAAACCGCATTTTTACATTATTTCCCACTACCAAATGACGGGTGCAAATGAAAAAAAAATCCGGTGGATTCCGTTGAATTTTTGAAATGATGTAGTCCATATGATTCTGATCAAAAAATTATCGGGCGGCAATCCTAAAAGATTTACAGTTTTTCTGCATAGGGGATTTCAATTCACATTTGAAAAAAAGAAACTACCACTTGATTCAGAATGGAAAGACAACTTTTCTCAATATTGTATTCGTATTCTTTATTGATTTTTCTTTCGGGAATATTGGGAGGGGGTTCTCACCCACCAACCACCTTAAAAAAATCCGCGTTACTGTTAGAAGCATATGAAAATGTTCAATTACGAGAAATTATATGTGAATTCACCTTGAAAATTTGCGGGGGTCCTTCAGTGAATTTTCAAAAGTGCACCTTTTTTGCTTGGAAAGATTCAGAAAAACATTTCCGCGACAAAAAAGTGAAAAACTAAACTGAGATAAAAGTTATGGCCATTCCAAACCATAAGAAGTGCATTTGTAGGCACCCTCTAATGGCCACAGTGAAAGGTTGTCCGTATTCAGGTTTCGCGACCCAAAAAGCCCTTTTCTATTAATTTCTGAAGTAATACTTGTAAAAATGTTGATAAAGTTTGAAAAATTCGAATTTCATTTTTTAACTTTACCACCCTGTATCTCGGAAATGGAGCAATTTCGGACTGAGGTAAGTTACTTCAAATCGGATTATTTTGACCTCAGAATATGTGGTGAGATTTTGTACAGACCTTTCAGGGACACCCTGTATATAAATATACAGGGTGTATCATAATATATGCGCAGGACATGTGATGGCTCCTTAAAAATATGAAAAAAGTTTTTCTCAACTTACCATCTAAAAATGCACTATTTTCGAGATACAGGGTGTTGAAATTTGAAAAAAAATCGTTTTTGCGAATATTTCTGGAACCGTTTATCGTACAAAAAACAGCTTTTGTAAGCATTTTGTATTTATAATTAGCTATGGTTTGTGAGTAATTTTTTAATTTTTAGGTGAAGATTTTGAAGGGGTTGTGAGTGTTTTCCTCCCCAACTTCTACGCCACTGGATAAAGTACAGTTTTGAGCAACCCATTTGAACTGCTAATATTTCCTACACAAAAAAGTTATTCTTGGTCAAAGCCTTTAAATTTGTTCGTTTTCGAGAAAAATCAACTTTTATGTTGAAAATCATTTTTTTTTAATTGCTGCGTGCATATAAGCTAACCGTGGGCATTTCCAATGATTATTAATTTAACTGAGTATGATTTGCTATTGTTTTTTTTTGTTCAATTTTGTTAACCTTCGGTTTTGTTAATAGTTCTAAGGTTTAAATAGATTTTGTTTAATTTGTTTCCAAAAACTTACCATGATTTTCAACATGAAAGTTGATTTTTTTCTCAAAAACGGTCAACTTCAGAGCTTAGTATCGAAAAGGAATATTCTCAGATATATTTATGAACATGAAAAATGGATATATTCTCCATGTGATGAAAATATTAATTCTTTCTCGGTTTATTCAACAGGAAACAACCACTTTCCTGGCTATATGCCACGACGAATATTGAATTATATCTGTTCCTGAAAGGTTTCATCTGCAGAACATCTTCATAGATACAATACTAGATACAATGAAATGTCTATTGCTAAATATAATACTTCAACTTGCTTGTGCATCTGTGACCTGCCATCTGTACTATGTATTTTTATATGGCCAATAAAGACTACTACTACTACTACTACTACTACTACTACTACTACAACTACTGGCAAAAAACACCCTTTATCTCGAAAATGGTGCATTTTAGAGGGAAAGTTAATGGATGTATACAAATTTTCAAAGTGATAACTGATCAGTTGTCGGGGTTCACCAGAAACATCTAATGTGCCATTCACTGTGAACCAGCCTGTATTACAAAATGTATTTTCTAATTTTCAAAAAAGATGTCCTGTGGGTTGAATCATAAAATATCATCAGATGAATTATAAAATATCATCAGAGGAATACGCTTATGGAGAAAAGTCCCATCAGTGTACATTTTGAAAAAATTTAGATTTTTCTTTGTTTTGTCAAAAAAATTGTATTGGGGAGTGAATGTTTGCCCGACAAAATATTGCAACATGAACTGCTTATGAAGTAACCTCAGATGAATACCTTTGTGGAGAAAAAGCACATACATGTCTAGTTTGAAAAAGTTATGATTTCTTTTTCAAATTTTCAAAAAAAGGTTCATGTAAGGTGAATTTTTTTACCCGTGAAAATATTGTTACATATACAGCTCATCAAGTAACGTAAGAAGAATACAATCATGCAGAAAAAGTTTCATGGATGTATATGATTTTTTTTTTATCTTCAAAAAAGTGGATTTTATAAAGTACTCTCAGACAAATTCATTCATCCCATCAATGTATACAAGGTGTTTTTGAAATAAGTACATAATATTCAGCACATTGCTATGAAACAGTCTTAAGAATATTCCTTGGGATATTTCCATAATATCAGATTTTTTTAAATTCTTTCAATTAAGGAGAAATTTCATCCCAAAAATTGAAGAAAAACGGAAACAAAATCAAGTACACCACTTTAAAACAATTTAAATGATTGAACTCCATGTGATTGTGCCTTCTTTATGAAAATTTGCATAGAGGTGATGTCAGAATTGCTACAGTGTAGAACTTTGGGTGGAAAAAGGGGTCTCACTCCTAATTTTATTTTGATCCCTATTCAACCACCCTGTATATTTCAAAAGAGTTAGTATTTTTTTGAAATTATCTAAAGAGGATTATGACAAAATATTGTGAGCTATTATACAACCTATAAAGAACCCTCAGAAAAATACACTCATGGAGAAAAGTCCCAATCATCTAAATTTTGAACAAGTTTTTTTATATTGTCAAAAAAGGGGTCTTTTGGAGTGAATATTTGACCAACAAAAAAGTGCCTTAAGCAGAATACATTAATGAAAATTATAAAAGTTCTCATACCCATACATTCTGAAAAAGTTGATTTTTTCTTGAGTTTGCAAATAGTCCTGTGGGGTGAATTTTTGCCCAATGAAATATTGTGAGTATTGAAAAAAATTGATACATATAAAGAAATGCATTGTGAATTCTCCCTCTTTATCTGATAGAAATATTAATTTTTTCTCTGTATATTCAACAGAAACCAACTAGTTTCCTGTCCATATGCCAGGATGAACATTGAATTACATCTATTGAACAGAAACAATGAGAATTTGAAAGTAAAATCTTCTGAAGTTGAGATTTTGCATTCTCTTTCGGATAAAAATATACATATATTATGTATATATCCTTTTGAATATTCAACAGAGAACTACTTTTCTGGCTATTTTCCATGTTGAACATTGAATTATTATATTATGTTGAACATCCAAGAGGATATAAAAATACAAATCTTCTGAAATTGAGAATTGTCATTTACTTTCAAATCACAAAAATAATATAAAGTATAATGAAATAAATGTTAAAAATTGAGGTTGGTTTAATGAACTACTCTCATGTTGTTTCAATGTATGACCCTATATATTTAGATGATAGCAATAGTTTTGACATATGTCATGTTAGAATTGTACTGACATTTTTTTATCCATACTATAATTTGGTATTCCAATTAAACTTGGCCTTGTCTAAACTTTCCAATTCATAACATTACCAATTTATTCAGTATTGAACTGAAAATTGAAATGTATGGTGAATATCCATTTGACATACATCTAAACAATACAAAAAAAAATTATTGTGACCTATACAGCTTGGTTTCACACTGATCTGCCAGAGTTCAGTTTTCTCCTCAACTGATCTATATGTTCAGTCATAATTGTTCATCAATATTAAGACCTAAGATATTTTGTAGCATTTGCATATTCACTGGATGTGCTATAGAAACATATTGAGGTATTATTCAAATTGTTAATTGTATATAAAACAACAAATTTTGAGTTTATTCAATGAAATCATATTCAGTAAATCTTGAGGTTTGGATAGATTTACAGTTGATTCTAAGAAATCCCAAATGGAAATGTAGTTTCTTGTTCTATTTTGTTCATGAATGACTAATATAGGAACATTTCATGAAACTAATAAAAACATCTTTTTCATAAATGTATCAAGGAAAGCTCTGAGTATTTTATATTCATTCAACAGTGTGATGAGTTTTTTTTCAATCATACAGAATGTTTATCTCTATATCTCTATCTCACACCATTTTCAAAAGTGACCCTACAAGAAATCTTGAGAACACTCTCCACACAATTTCCTGTGATAATCCTCACAACACAAGTTAATTTCACAATGAAAACATTATGCATATAAAAGAAATATCCAGAAAATTTTGCAATCATGTTTTTCAGTTCCAGGAAATACAGAATATAAGTAGATACTTACTGCAAGGCACACTCATCCTCACTCAGCAGGTCACGAATTTCTTCATTGTACAACTCAATGTATGACACTTTAACATTAATTTCTACATTGGACATATGACCAAGTTCATGAAAGATATGAAATGCTGCTCTTGGTATAACTCCAGAATCATCATCCTAGAAACACAATTCATAATTTAAAATTATCAAATAGTGAAAATGTCCTCAAAAAATGTTCCCCTCTCAAACTTTGTCAATTCATATTTATGAAATTCATCAGTTATGAAACAAATCTATTACCTTCCTCCAATTTCCAACAAGATTACATTTTTCTCCAGTCATAGTATAAGTTTTACCAGTCCCTGTCTGTCCATAAGCAAATACTGTACAGTTATAACCAGCAACAACATCTTGGATTAAAGGAGACACAACGTTCATGTACAGCTCAATTTGTGATGCATTGGGTTTGAACACCCTGTCAAAGGTATATTTTTTGTCTTTCATTAATAATTCCCTAGGTGTATGACTCTTCAAAATATTCTTCACATTTTGGTCTTCTTCTTGTTTAGTGAGTGGCCTGAAAAGAGTTGCCATTATTAAATCGTCAATATCATCTATAGTTGATAATAAATACCTGATACGAACCACTACTTTTACATTTTGAAGTGGTTGTTTCTTTTTGATTGCTGCTGCCATTGCTCAAAATACTTGAAGATATGGGTCCACAGAAGTAATTGTTGATTACAAGGGAATATCAGGGAAAACCTGAATAACAGCTATGTCATCACACTTTAAAAAAACGCCGAAAACAAATTAAAATTCAACATTATATTATGATACATAACCTTGAGTAAACAGCACAAAGCTTTTCAAATTTGATTTTCAATTTTAACGGATTATTAAACGAATGCCTGCTGTCGCCTTTCCATGGCTTGTCGCTTGTCTGTCTGTTGACTGTTGACAGTGTTGACACTGTTGAACCCACGAGTTACGACTTCACATCCACCCCACTTCGTTAACTGGGTTCAAAACTGGGTTTATATTTTTCCGTTCCGTAAATATGAAATATTCGATTGGTTCCTGAAAAAACGGAACCTGCTTTCTGAAAAGCGGTAGATCTGTCACCGGAACGACTGTCGATTTCCACAAGTTCGGTTAGTTTGAGTTGACGTTGACGTATTTTAGTTTTCGGTTTGATTATTCGATTCACAAATTACAATGCAAAACTATTCTCATTTCAACTATTGCGTTAAGTTCCGATGGATTTGTTTTCAGAGGAAAATTGATAATTTTCTTCCTTTTTACGTGCTGATATAGTGTGCACAAGAATTAGGAACTTTTGGGTGACATAATTAAAAATCAAATAATAGCAGAACATCCATGTTTAAAAAAATACCAGAAAACTATAATTTGGCAAATGACTGGCATTCCGTAAATAAACCAAAACTGCAGTCATCACTGTCGAAACTGTTGGTACAGGCCTGAGATGTTTATAAGTTGACTGGTGGAGCGACTCTTCAACTGTTTTTGTAACAAAAGTGTACAACGATTCAGAACGAGAGTAACACTTCTCACCTTTCATTGAGAGATGGCGCCACGATCGTAATCAATAAATAAAAATTCTGAATCTGTGGTGTCAGATTTCACTGGATCTTCGAATGAAATGTGAAGATGCCAATATTTTTATTATTTCATTTTAACTTTTACATTATTTCCATTCGGAAGCACAGTTGAAAAAATATATGATTATTTCAATTGTGCCAAAGTGTGGTTCAATGTTTTTCAAGTAGGTATCAGTTTTATCAGTGTTTTGTGGTTCGGATAGAATTCAAGATTTGTCAGTATTTTTTAGAGTTTGTGGATGAAACGTTCCCGTTCTCTCTGTGGGGGTCCCAAAGGAATTCTCATGCATTCTCTTATAATCAATTCATGTCTTCTTAATCTAAAACTGAACTAGGTAACTTGATTCAGTTGGTATCTACTTGGTGATATTGTGGGAAGGCACTGCTCCCAATAAATCTTGAAATTTCAACTCTGTAGATCGGAAAGGAATAGTTTGTGACACATGTATATAGAAAAAAGTATTATCTTGATCTGAAAGATATTCCTCTGATATCTCAATACTGAATTTTGAAACACCCTGCATAGGGGGCAGGTGATATCTTTCTGAAATATGTCAAAAATAAAAACTAAAAAGATAATGATAATGCTTATCAGGCAAATCAAAAGTTCATTTAGCTGAACTACTTGGAGACAAGTAGACATTTATGTTACCTACTGTATGTAGATGTGTGTGGTGTGTGGCAAGTAGTAAAAAAAGAAACAATGTTGTCACTCATTTTAATGAAAAAAATTTAAATCATCTCAAATTCATTGTTGGAATATCAAGGAGTACAAATACCAAACTGAAACCTTGAAGATATGAAAATTGCAGATCATAAATAGGATATCTATTTCACAGTAAAGTCCATAAGTAATTGGTATCTCAGTGGAGTGATCAATTCAACAAAGGAAGAAAACACAAGGTTGTCTCCACAAAACTCATCAATTGGATATAGTTCATGTTTTGACCTATATGGGCTCATCTTCAGCTAGTAGTAATATTGTGGGGAGGCTCATCCTGTCAGACAAAAGTGGATCCCCATGGGCCCTTGTTGCTAGTCATCTTCAGCTAAACATTAATGCACAATTCTACAACAGAAAAAATTATGTTAGATAATGGTATAATCTGTTTTCCTCTTAATGAGTGCAAAAGTACTACCACAATCACCATTATTATCAGTACATTTTTCTTGAAAACACTTTTCTCATAATTTTTTTCTACAACTTGAATGATAACAAAAAAAAAGGTTCCATGTGAAAAATTGTATTTTCCATTCAAACTAAAAAAAACAGAGATGCTCAATTATTGTTTTTTTTTGTCCTTCGATCTTGGAGTGTGTTAAAAATACTGCAAGTTTGCAAAATTTGAATGATTTTGTATCTTCAATAATGACAGTTACCAATGGTGGACACGCGATCTGGATAACTAACTTTGTCTATTTACACCATCAAACAACATCAAGTTTTCAACTTCTTTTCCTTGATCCCTTCACTCATGGTTTTTGATAAACTCTGTCAGACTGGGTATTTTTGCATGCTAAATCTTCTCGTTTTCACTTATAGAGAGCTTTTTTTGTCAAACTGAACTTGACATTCAGATGAGAATTTTATTTCCTGAAAATTAAAGAAAAAAAAATGTTTTTAGGATGATTAGGAGTTTTCTGTCAGTTTTATGAGTTGGATTTTCTGGAGGGAACCAAACAAAAAGTATAAAAAATGTCAAGTTTACTTTGACCAAAAAAAAAAATTTTTGAGTGTAATCACCAATCAAAAATGCTTGAGTAACAGAATTTAATGAAAATTATAGAGAATCTTGCAGACATCTTTTAAATAAACTCAAAATCTCCACTCTCCTGTCACTCTTCACAGGGTCAATGGAATTCACAAAAATCTCCAATATTGACAACCCATTCAGATGTTCATCACCATGGTACCAGAGGAGCAAAAATAATCAGATAACCTAGATATTTTTGATTTTTGTTCCTAGCCTCCCTAGATTGTACTATCTTACAGATACTAGGTATTTTTGGAGGACAAATCCAAGGATAAATAATCTAATTTTCTATTACCTAGTCATAAATATACAGGAGAAAGTTTGTAGGTCTCCTAGAAGGCACTATATCATGAATATTCATGAGTTGAGTTAATTTTTGTGGTAATTGAGGCTACAGTGTAGTGGGGTCAAGGAAAAATCAAAGAAGTTTCTATGATTTTCATGAGTTTAAAATATTTTTGTATAAATCAAGATGTCACAGAAAAAATACAGTTCACAAAATTTAATGATGACAAAACAAGAGAAACTGTCCTACAGAGGAAAGGGGAACAGAAAAAATAAAAAACCAGACATGCAAGGAAAATTATTAGCTAAAAATATAAAAAGTTACATACATACCTATACCCTAAAATAGTCTGGAGTTCATTGGTTATGTGTTGATCATGGCAGTATCATGCCAAAAAACAGGAAAATAATCTGTGAGACCCTGCTCTGGTAGACATGTTTCAGCTAGTGTTTCAGCATTATGCAGGCCAAGAGGCATAGGTTTCAAGATATTTTTTCATGATGGAGATTTTTGAAGGGAAAATCCAGGCTATGGTAATCTTTGAGTGCATAATATCACTTGAATACTCAGGGCTCCCAATTGCAGTGATCAATGTGAGTAGAGGTGTTTCAACTTTCTCCTCCTCATTGAATGTCTCCAAAATAACCTGAAAATAAAGGCATTCAACTTTGTATGCAATATTTCATCCAATAAAATGATTTATGAGAAAATCTATTCAAGTTTTCTACATGCTTAGAATCCACAAGATAATTTCAAATAGCACAGATCAGGACAAAAGTGAGTAAAAGAAACAAGATAAGTACTAGACAAAAAATGTTATTGAATATCCAACATTCCAATTTGATGAAATAATTATTACAGGCCTATTCCAAATACAGATTACAGAATAATGTGCCACAGATATATTAGGTTTTGGATTTTCACATTGTAGGTATTTATGTGTAAACTGTGCAAGCAATTAATTCAATGCCAGATAATCATTGCATCTTGCATCACTTTTCGATCAGTCATGGTATGGAAATCTGAGGTATGAACACATTTTTGAGACTAGGTGAGTATAATAATAGGGAGCTCCAGAGGGAGGTAAGAGTTGACCCATCCTCCCATTTATATATTCACTTTTACTTCCACTATAAAAATACCATTTGTGAAATATGTGAAAGGAAAGAATAAACAATTAATTATTCAATACTTACGTGAACTACATTCTACATTTGAAACTGTTTCCTCCTGGCCTGGCAGTCCTGGCTTGTGAGTGGTGTTCAGCTGTATGATGAATCCATTTTGTAGTCGCAAAATTCACTTCACAAACGAAAAACACTCATGAACACTTTCAAGTTCTGGTAAAACTGCATTTAGCATGCGATGGGTTTTTTTCTGAAAATTTTTTTTGGTACTCAAGTATTTTTGTCTGAAAAACACGAATTTGATAATGAAAATGTGAACAAACCATTATTTATCAAGATATTTCACTATAAAGTTTCAAATTTCACCTTCTTTTCCGCCTGTCTTCTGGATTGAATTTCAAACAATTCACCCTTCTTTTTTCATCATTGGACAATTTATATATATCACAATGTAAGACACATTTTTTTCTATTATTGAGTCAACTAGAAATATGATTTTCTTGTGATTTATCCATATTCATTGAAAAGAAGGAAGAATATCATTTGAAATAATGGCGTGTGTAATGTCATTCCAAAGCAATCTATTGACATTTGACATCTCGTATTTGGATTGCCTATGGATAAAATGGCCGTCATCTGGTATGCTTGCTCACTAAATAGGAAAAACTCACCATAAAAATCATATTTCCTGTTGAATTTTCTGTATAAAAATGTGTCATTGAAGTACATCATGAGTATATGAAGTGTCCAATGACAAAATAAGAAGAGCAAGTACCTGAAAATGCATCCAACGCAAGGGGAAAAAGGAGTCGAAATTTCGAACTTTTTTTTGAAATATCTCGATCATTGTCGATCTAAATGGAAACCTAGTTAGGTAGTTAGTAGGCGAGAGCATAATATTGTCTGTTCTTTGAAAAAATAAATGAAGGCGTTCAGTCATTGTCGATCTAAATGGAAACCTAGTTAGGTAGTTAGTAGGCGAGAGCATAATATTGTCTG